AAACATTCCGAATACAGCAGATCCTAACTTTTCATAGACGTCAGGTCAGAATCACAGAACCTCAGAATCTCAGTGACCATCTAGTCCAACCCAGACCCAACTGGAATCCTCACTGAAACATATCTAACAAATGGTCACCTGATCTCTGCCAGAAAACTATTGAAAAGGAACCCACCACCTCCATTTTGCTTTTGAACAATTCTATTGGAATTAGAAAATTTTCCCTGACATCAAGACCAAATTGACTTCTTTATAAATTCCACTTATTGCTCCTGGTTCTTTAGTAAAAAAAAAATCTAGATCCTCTTCCACATGACAGTTCATCAGATACTTGAAGATCAAGTCTTCTCCTGTCCAAGTTAACCTTCCTACCCCCAGTTCCTTCAGCTCATCCTCACATGTCATGGATTCAACCATACTGGTTGCTTCTAGAAGGGAGATAAGAGTTTTAGTTACTTAATATGTAGGAATTTAGTACAGTTCATTTTATCAATCAGTCAAAAAACATTTATTGTCTGCTATGTGCCATGCACTTTACTAGTTATTAGGGAATACAAATACCACAGTCAGAAATTTCACTGCCTTCAGTCTAATTTTATGATTACACATTTCAGAATAAAAGCACCCTACTTTAGTGTCTTATTATAGCATGGAAGTAAGTGATCCTGAGTTCTCAAAGACTACTCATTGAAACATGATCCCTTATTGGTGGTACAGGGGGTAGAGTGCCAGCCCTGGAGTCAGGAAGACCTGAGTTCCAATGTGGCCTCTGACACTTAGTAACTGAATGACCCTGGGCAAGTCACTTAGCCCTGTTGGCCTCAGTCTCCTCATCTGTAAAATGAGCTGGAGAAGGAAATGGCAAACCACTCCAGTATTTTTGCCAAGAAAACCCCAAATAAGGTCATGAAGAGTCAGACATGACTGAATAACAACAACAACAATAACAATAATCTTCTCCCCTCATCACCCAGTGATTCACTCAGGGCCCTTTACACTGTGATTGACCTGTCTATTGAATCAGGCTAATATTGCTGTAGTTACTTATTCAGCTTAACATGCTTTTTGTTCTATGTAAATCAAGTAAATCGAAATCCAACAGCTGGTATGTCATGGAAGATTACATAATCTAAAACTGATGAAAGGATCAATGTGAACTTAATTTCTATATAAAAGAGAAAAAGGAACAGAAACCTCTGCAGCAAACAGCAACCTTCTAGACTGCTTCCTGCAAGTATGATGGTGTCTTGCTTTACTGCCCAGTCATATTGATTGAAAATATTTTTTTTTTGGTAAAACTTCATGAAATCATAGAAACTTAAGATTGGAAGGAAACCTTAGAGGTTATCTGGTCAAAAATATCTTTGCAGTATCTGACTCAGAAATTTCTCCCAGTATTTAGAAATTGAAGGGATAATTGACAATGCCAACAGATTCAAGCAGTCACTACTTTTTGTTATAGTTTGTTCTAGAATATGCACATTATAAAGTAGCATCTTAAAATGATCACATTTTACTATAAGAATGTTATAATTGAGGAATGGGTTCTCAAATAGGTATTATCCTGTCATGAAGCCAAAGATAAAACTGTAAATAAGGATAATCATTCAAAATAATAAAAGTAATTCTCAATGCTATATAATAGACAAATGTGCTGTATACATTCTTTTAGGAGAGGTTCTAATTTACTACAATGTAAAAATATCATTCTTTTCTAATAAATATGGCTTCCAATTAACATACTATATGTCTGTTTCTCTATTCATCTGTCTACCCATCTATTGTTTGTTTATTTTGGGGATTGGTTGGGGACTGTGATTTCATTGGTGTAAGGAGCTCCCAGTGAAGAATTTTCTCTACCAATGTAGATTGGCACCTTCTCACCTGCCTATGGTCTGAGAGAAGTGGCTAGGGCACTATTGAGTGACTTGCCTGGAGTCATACTATCAGTATGCATGTGGCAGAGACAGGATCAGAACCGTGGTCTTTCTGACTCTAAAGCTAATTTTCTATCCATTTTCCCCCACTGCTTCTCACGGCTAGTTGTGAGAAAGTTCTTCACTGGGAGCTCATTATACCGATGAAATCAGTCCTCATCCTACTCCCGAAATATAGATAGATAATATACGAATGGATAGCTAGATGCTCACTATATACATATAGCTATATATATATATGCATATAAATATATATATATAATACATATAGTATGCAAGATAATATGTGTATATATTTATATATACTTATTAGTAAACCTGACATATTTAACTGTTGGTTTTCTTAGAATTTAGAAGGAATTTTTAGAGGTGATTCAGTTCTCATTAAAAAAAAATGCCCTCTATAGAAGTTTAAGCTGATGCTTTACTTCTCTCTTGCTAAATTTCCCTGTAGGAAGCAAAACCTTTCAAAAACATCCATTGACCTCGAGCTTTGCTTAAAGTTTTAGGTATTCAACTTGTAGATGTTAATGTTAGGAATTTTTTTCTACTGCAAAACATTTTTTAAAAAGTAAAAGCAGACCTAACATTTCTTTCTTTTGCTTTCTCAGACCAACTACTCGGTATCACAGTTTAATAGATTCAGTTCAATTCAACAAATATTTTACTGCCCATTACTGTATATGTGGTTGAACTCTTAAGAGACCTTTTCATTCAGTTCCCTCATTTTACATATGAGCAAACTGAGACCTGAAAGATTAAGGGATTGCTTTAGGTCTCCATCCCAGTCTATTAAAGCTACTTTGGGACTTAAAGACTTTCACGAAAGTCGTATCAGACAGTGATGCTGAAAGCAGTAAGCTTTTATTATGGATATGTTTTAATTCACACAATAGAAGGCCTAAGTTTTAAAATGAGGCACTAGGGTTGGAAGGGACAATAAAGAGTAATAAAGGATGGGGCTGAGGAGAGGGAAGGGCAGTCAAGGATGCAACCAGAGAGATCACTAGAACCTTTGGCGAAATGGTTGGCAGGCCACAGTAGGAGGAGGAAGGGATCAACAATGGTCCTGTGTGAGTCTGCCCTCCAGACCTGGCACATCTGGGTCATGTTCAACATAGTAGGACAGCACACACATATTAGGGCCGTAGCTGGGGAGGGCCATGGATTTTCTAGGGAGTGGAAACTACTTACTCAAACATATCTGATTTCACAACTCTCACTTCTCACATGTAGGGAAATGACAGGTATTGAGCCAGGGAACTTTCTACTCTAGAAATATCTAACACGGAAAATTCCAAGAAAGGAAGGGAGTGTTATGCAGGAGGATGGTATGTGACCCCGTAGCAAGGGAGCTCTATGGGTCTCAGAGAGGCTGGACTACCACAATCAGACACCTAGTTAGGAGCAGAGCCAATAACAAACTATTGGCTTTAGAACCAGTTATTCTGTGCTCACTCCTCCCATCTTTGTCCAAAGATTAAGCTCACTGGCTCATCCCCCTTGAGTTTTCAGCTTCCTGGTTGGTTCACACAGGATCATAAGTGGTTTGTTGTTAGGATGGCTCATCTATTGTTCATCTTGCCGGGAATGTGACCAGCTGCTGACTTTTCACATGATAGTCTGTCAGTATTGAGTGACCACTAATACTTTGTTTTGTTGTGGATCATTCATCAGTTGTGTGTGTGTGTGTGTGTGTGTGTGTTTTAATTGCTTATTTTACTTGGAACTTGAGAAACATCAAATCAATTAAACATTTCCATATGCATTATAGAACAAGAGAGGATTATTCATAAAACCACAAATCTTTTAAAGCTTACTTCTCTACTTAAATGTGTATAAATTCAACTTGTAATTTTTGAAATTGTGGTGCTTGTCTATAATTCCTTCTGACCTTCCTTCTGTTCTCTTTTTTGGGGGAAAGGGGAAGACTCTATGCCTCTCCTTGCTATACACCATCCCCATTTAAGGGGAAAAAAGATAGAACCCTTGTAACAAAATTGCATAGTCAAGCAAAACAGATTCCCACATATGTCAAAAAATGAGTGTCTCATTCTGCATTTTCTCATTCTACATCTTGAATCTATCATCTCTCTGAGCAGAGGTCAATATTTGTTTCATTATTGGTACTTTGAAATCAGTTGGTCATTTCATTGATCAGAAAACTTAAGTCTTTTACATTTGTTGCCTTTACAATGTTATTGGTATCGTCTGCATTGTTCTTCTGGTTCTGCTCACTTCACTTTGCATCAATTCATGTGAGTCTTCCCAGGTTTCTATGAAATGGTTCTTTCATTGTTTCTTACTATGCAGAAAGAAGTATTCCATTACATCAACATACCATAATCCATTCAACCATACTACCCACCAATTAATGGACACCGACCATAGTTTTTAGTACTTTGCCACTACAGAAAGAAATACTACAAATATTTTTGCACATATGCATTCTTTTTCCCTTTCTTTGATCTCAGTTCAGATTAGCTGCATAGACTATTGCAGGCCTACTGTGGAGTTATAGATGTGCCATTGACCTGTCCTCAGAAGTTAGTACTGTATGGATGTGGCAGAAATGAATCCAGATAGCTTTACCTCTTCTGGTCTTTTCTCTTCCTATGTAGCTGTCTACTCAGAGGTGGTGACCAAAACACATGTATTTCATTGCCTTCTTATTCGTGTATTCCCTGTTCTGCATGTCGCATTCATAAATAGATACTTAACACAAAGTGTGTGTTGGGTCAATATTTTGAGTATTTCAGCTGCCTGCCTATAATTTACCTCACGTTTCTTTTCTTCTGCCTGTTTATTCTCTTCACATTTACTATAGGCATTTAAAGATAGTATTATAGCTCTTCTGGGATTGTGAATGAGAATTATAATATTTTCCAGGCCTCTAATAACCTTCTGCATACCTCAAGCACTCATTAACACTAAAGGGAACTAGTCTCGGGATTAGAACTGCCCCTGCTGAATTGTTCAAATGTATAATTTAAACGTTGGTTTCTTAAAATGTTTTAATTGGATTTTTCCTTACCAATGTTTAATTTTGTCACTTTTTTGTAGTTTTTACATTAATTGCCATCACTGCTAAGATCTGAGACAAGGCGGTGTTGATGTTAGCTGAAGAAAATTTCTGCAGCCCACTGTATAGCTTGCTTGTACGGTAAGATTTTTTGCCTTTTTTTCCCCTTAAATCATTTCATTCCTTTTGGCCTTAGAGAGTGGCAGAAAGGTTGATATCTTAGAGCACAGATCTTAATCACCAAATTAAGAATTTAAGCGATAAGCATTTATCTTAATACTCGTTTTATCCAAATCCTTTTTTGAGAACCAAATGTTATTAGCTCTTCATATTCAGGAGATAATTATCTAGTTCTTAAGTCTTGAGCTTGTGACTTCTTTGTTTTTCCCATCTTACCCAGGACTGTTTTGCCCCACCCCCGCTTTAATTTCCATTAGCCTAGATTTTGACCATTTTTTATTCTGCAAACACAGCTCTACTTTGTGTCCGAGTAGGAGGGGGAAAAAACCCAACTGCACATAAAACACTAACTGGTCAATTCTACTACTATTATACTACTATTATAATATACTACTAATATACTACTACTGTTACTTTAATTGAAAATTTAGAGATGATCACTTGAACTGAAGATGAGCAACTGACATGAGGATTTGTATTACTTTTGGATTTAAATGATCCACATTATCCTTAAGATCTGCAAGTATCTCTTGATACAGAGATGCAGAATGTTATATATAGTACATGTGACGTTGAATTGGGAGACAGAAGACCTGGATTTTAGCCATGTGACATTGGACAAATCACTTTGACCTCTCTCAGACTAATTTTTCTCATGAATGAAATGGTATATCTTTCTTGCCTATTTTAGGGTTGTTGTAAAAGTCAAATGAGGTCACTTATGTGAATGCTATTTGAAAACACTTGAACCCTGGGCAAACGTAAGCTGGTGGTATGTAACAAAAATAAACTCATGATCTTTCATGCACGTTCCCAGCTGAAATGTTACCTTTGACTCCATGCTCTTAGTCACCTCCCACATCAAGTCATTTGCCAGTCTTGTAATTTTTTTTCTATGTAAGTGACAAATTTCTGGCATCCAGAACCAGATTAAAATATAATTGGAATGGTAGCAGCTAGGTCACACAGTGGTTAGAGCACCAGCCCTGAAGTCAAGAGGACCTGAGTTCAAATCCGGCCCCAGACCAAACACTTGGCACTTACTAGCTGTGTGACCCTGGGCAAGTCACTTAACCCCAATTGCCTAAAAAAAATATAATTGGTAAATGATTGACAAAATAAATAAAAATACTACACAATATAGTGCTTATTTGTGATTTTCTAAGTTAGTAAGTGAACCCATAGACATCCATTTCTTTTTGAGATTGACACCACTGCTCTATATTATATTCCATATTGATAACTGTCTTATCCACTCATATAGCCACAAATTTAGTGCAGGCCCAAATCACTTCTTACCTTGACTATTGTTTTAGCCTCCAGATTGGTCTCTCTGTCTCAAACCTTCCCCTTCCAATCTATCCTTCACATAACTTCCAAGCTAGTTTTTCCTACAGTGCAAATCTGACCATGTTACATTTTTTTATACTTAATAAACTCTGATGGTTCCTTATTGCCTTCAGGATCCAATGCAAACTTTTCTGTTTGGTATTCAAAACTTTCACAAGCTGTCCCCATCCTATCTTTACAACTTACCACATGTGACTTACAAGTTAGTGCGTGTTACTGACCTCCACATGATAAATGCACATTGATTGATTCTTGGAAAGTTACTTAGTAAGAGAAATTTTATAAATGAAATACTGTTTTCTCATTGACTTAGTTGAATAAGGGAAGTTATACTCAGTGGTTCCCTAGGAGGATGTTTTTATATATGCTAGTGATTACGATCATTATGAGAGAAATGAGAACTTTCTATCACTGGGTATCTCAAACTGACTTTTTTATTCCCATTCCTTTTCATTCCTTCTTTTTTCTTTTCCCTTCGCTGTTTCTATAGCATAATCTGTACTCTGTTACCTCATTCATAGGTACTTATTAATACTTCAACTGAGATCAGGACAGCTGTGTATAATATGGTTTCTTTTTTTTGGCTAAAGAAAAATGCCTCGAATGCGGTAATGGTGGATATTTCTTCCTTTTTTGAGAGTTAAAGTAGTAAGATTTTTAAAGAGATGCCTTTTATTGCAGTGAATTGCATTAGAGTTTTCCAAGGACCACATCCAGTTATGGGGGAAAAAACATGGTTACAGTTATATGAACTAGGAAATGAGTGTTTGTTTTTACATATATTAATATAGATTGTGCCATCTGTTTTCTGATGACTTTAATGTCAAAGTTTTACTACTGCTATTCTGAAAGCTACTATTTCTGGATCTCTTTCTCTTTTCTTTCCTACCAAATCACTCTCATTAGGCCCAATCTCCTGTACTAAACATATGTAAGAGTTCTAAAAGTCATGATTCAAAGTTGTAAGGAGGTGGATTTCAGATGAAAGTGAAGAATGACTTTTCTAATAATTAGAGAACTACATTATGTGCAGTTGATGACAACTTCCAATTTTTTTTTCAGTACAGTGGATGGTCTCCAGCCCACAGTTTTGTAGAAAACTCATCATTAGGATGAAATAACTTATTATATCCTCATTAACTTGCCACGTGCCAAAGAGCTTGGATAACTAAGAACAGTACTTTGAGAGATACAGCTGCGGCAACAATTCAGTGTGTAGGGAAGGAGTACAAGAAGCCAGCTTCTGCCCGCCATTTATTAAACACTTACTCTATGCCAGGAGCTATGTTAAGTGGTGGACACTGTGCTAAGCACTGTCAGTTTGTGTATTTTTACAAGAACAAAACAAAACTGAGATGAATGTATGGGTAGGTGGGGTCACATCCATTTAGTCCACAGATATCTCTACCATTATTAAGGAAAAGGCATGTTTTCTGCCTTTCCTTTACCCCTTAACTTCTTTTCTCCTTTGCCATTGCTGTGGGTAGGAGAGGAACAGAAGAACAAAGACAAGAAGAACAAGAGAAACATATTCAGGGCAAGATTTCTGCTTTTCAAACATTTACAGCTAAAGCCTTTAATAGTGTCTTAAAGACAGTTCATTATATTAATTCATTATATGAATGTATACATGTGTGTGTGTATATATATATATGTGTGTGTGTGTGTGTATAAATTTGACCCTGGGAAATTAGTGCTATTATTATCACCCTTTTACAGGTAAGGAAACTGAGGCTGAGAGAGGTTAAGTGATTTGCTCAGGGTCACACAGCTAGTAAATATCTGAGGCAGGGTTTGAACTCAGGCCTTCTTGTCTCCAAATAGTTTGTTCTCTTCACTATACTACATAGCTGGCTGTGTTTCCTCCAAAAGACAGAAAGAAAGAAAGAAAGAAAGAAAGAAAGAAAGAAAGAAAGAAAGAAAGAAA